GATGCCCCCAGGATCCGCGCGATTAACCTTCTAAGTACTAACATCCGATATATATATATATCTGAGAAAGCCGAATGTCCGATATATCGACGGTCTCTATCTCTCTCTTCTTGTTTTGAGTAGCTCGAGTCTTTATTTGATTCGATTAACTTTGAAAATCAGATAAATACAGGAACTACAACAATTTATAAATTAAACTTCGCGATTGAAATCCGTCCACTAGCGAAGGGGGATTTAAATACCCCGTACTCCTTAGAACGTTAACACAATCAATAACGCCTTTGGGATTTTGTTTCCTCCTCTCGTTCACAACCGGCGATTGAAAAACCATCGAACCCGACGCGGATGACGCATACGGGACCGATCGCGCATCGTGCAGGTAGACGACGCGAGCAGCGTGTTTGCTCAAACACGTTCGGACGGAGAATCTCGCTGCGGGGTGGATTTAGCGGGACGAGCTGGGGGGGGGAGGGAGATGCGCGTGTGCAGCACGTAAATGACTGGCATAATAACGGTAATACGCCGGGCATTATCTGCACGCGTTCGCATTTTTGCGGGCAGACAGGTTTCTCGACGCGCGGCGGTTTCCGCGAGCGAGCCCCCAGCCGTTCTCCTCAGCCTTCCACGCGATGACCCGTGGTTTTTCAGGTCGATCCACTGCAGGCTCTATCCAGTCACCGCCGATATCATCTATCTATCGTCTCGGACTATCGAGATGGAGAATCGAGCATTGTCCGTGTTTCCGCTCCTCGCGAGACCACCGCGTTCTCCGTTCTTTGAGCATGGCGTCAGAGAATGTATCTAACATTCCCTGTTTGAGAGCCGAGTCATGATTTAGACAATAGTTCTTGTCACCAATTTCAATGCAAAAACGACACTGCCTTTACTTGGCCCGCCGAGTCAAGGTCACACATATTCCAAGGTCCATCGGTGTGTCAGGTGACAAGATATCTTGAATTTTCTAGACACATCTCGGACGATTAGCGTTGCCAGGAGAATACGATTAGCCAAAGGGAACTCGCGTCAAGAATCCACCCGTCAATAATGAAGAAGAGTTTTAATCGTTAACGCTGGAACTATCAAAGTGGTCAAAATGACCAATTTATAAGTTCACGGGCTTTATATACTTTGTAGGTTTCTATGGATTTTATATGTTTATGACATTTTCAGACACTAGATTTTTAATAAAATATCCATAATATATTTATATATATTATGGATATTTTTCATATATATATTATGAATATATATTTAATATATTCATATATATTAAAATATATTTTTATATAATGATATTTATATATTTTTATAAAATGATATTTATATATATTTATCCATAATACATTTTATATATATTACTTTATATTATACAATATAGTGTCCATTTTATAATAAAATACATTAATAGAAGCTTGTTTCTATTAACTTTTTTTCTTACAAATACAATTATACTTTAGTCGTCGGTAGTTCTAGCGTTCAACTAGACTAGCCTCCGTAATTAGTAATCAAAGTATGAATTTACGTCGTTAATAAATGGTACAGTTTCTCCATCAAAGTAATTGAAAGTAACATCAAAGTGTAATTTACATATAACGAGCATAAAACACTGGAATAAAATTTATACAGAGACGTGCAGTCTCGTCATCGAACACTAAGCAAATCAAACTCGACTAGTGTGACTGGTACGGCCACATACATGAGAATCGAGAAGAGGCGATGGAAGATCCGAGAGGAGTGCGATGACTTCGCGCGTGACGCGTTCGTTGTTCGAGAGAGAGACGCGTGCCATCGAGGAGAACGCCACGCCACGGATAACGAGTTCTTCCGATGCACGAGACCGCGAAATCTGTTTCGATTCTGTTCTCAAAGTACCGAGAAAGAGAGAGAGAGAGAAAGAGAATCGCGTTTTAACCTTTTTTTTCACCATTTTCTGTCTTTCCACTTTAATAGTGTCCAATATTAGTATATTTGTAACATGTTTCAACGTATCGTGATCGACGGAACGTCGACACGAACTCGTTAGAGAGACCGTACGCGTTTACTTAAAATGTTTTACTCTAACGCTCGACGTTTTTCTAAAAAAAAAAAAAAAAAAAAAAAAGAAGGTGAAGCGGCATGCTCATTTTACTTACCGCGCAGAGGCGTTATTAAAGAGAAATGGGGAAATTATCTAGGTTTATTTACGTGATATAGTAATATCCTTTTTTACACGGAGCAAATGTAATATCGTACCGAGCGTACAGAAAGGAAATTTTATTTAAACTTCCCTCGAATAAAATCGAGCACGTAGCAACGTGTAGGTACTGCTCCTCGCGCGAGCAGCTTCTGAAAATATCGAGGCGATCTTTCTTCAAATATTCGCGCAGCAAACTTACTTTTTTCTCCAAAGTATGTTCAAAGTTTGTTAAATTCATTGAAAGTCGGCGAATTAATTGAATCTTCGTTCAACGCTAGACGTACCGGTACTTGATAATTTATATTTCTGTTCTAACTGATCGAATGAGCGGTTGTGAAATAAAAGTCCTTAGGAAAATAACGCTAGTTGTCAATCTAACGTAGAGAAACAATGCGCGTAACAAGTTCTTTTAGACAAGAAGAGAAACTATACATTTTCGTCGGTTTCTATACGTTCGAGTTAAACGAACAAGAGAATTTCAAATCAAATTTTTAAACCGATCGTTTAGCTTCTGCTCGTCGAGACGAAAGAGAACCAAACACGATTTTCATTTTTCCTTCACTCCACGAGGGAAGAGTTTATGCTTACGTTTGCACGTTGTAACTGGTTACTTTGTAACTATCTGCGTAATTGCTGATTAGTATAGATCGCGAATCGACCGGTTGGAGATACCACGGCCACGATCTTTATCATTTGTTATTTTCGTTGGGCGAGTCGCTGGAACGTGTCCTCCCCTCCGCGTCTTGCGAGACTAACGATCCCGTTTAGCGAAACAGTAAGCGGAGATAATTAAATTTAATTGTGTACACGATCGTTTCGAGATTTAATTGGATCAGTTGTAACTCGACTGATATTTGCTTAACCTCGCGGCGAGGTAGAACCGAGTCACTGACTTTTTCGAGCAAAACCGAAGGAAAAGAAAGAGAGAGAGGTGCGAAAAGGTGCGTTTACATAATTTTCTCGAACGTAAACAATTCTACCTAATTACGGAGAAACCTAACGTTAGAACTACCAAAGTGCTCAAAATGACCAACTTGTGATTTTGCGGATTGTTGCGTTTTTCGAAAGATTCGACTGATTTCTCTGAGATACATGAATAATGTATGCGTTTGTTATCGTATTGTAAACAGTATTTTCCTATTCCCTGCATTTTCATTTTCTCGACTCAATTTTTATGTTTCAGCCCTCGGTTTCAGTTCTAGTGTCGATTAACTCGTTTCGTGTCACGGAGAAGTTTTTGAAAAATTTGTTATAAAGTCACGTATTGACGTTTTAATAAAACATGTATATCCGCGTTTATCCTACTGTGGGACGTATACGATTACTTTTCCCAATCATTTGTTAATTCAATTCGGTGAAAAGACGTATAAAATTTATTATCAAAATAACGTTAAAGTAAATATTACTTATTAGTATTTAGCATTATTGTATAGCATTAAATAATTTACATAATAAACACATAAACAATAATACTAAAAATATTTGGGACAAAATGTTTCTTTTTAAATTAATTTTTAACATCGTTGAAAAAAGCTGCTTGTTAAAGCAATACCTTAAAATGAAATTTAAAATCGCCTATATTCTGCAATGCATCTTAAACTCTAGACAACACTTTCCTCGGTAATCTATAGTTTTTGCATTTCCATTATAACAATTGCAAGACACACTTTAGAAAACAAAATCGTATAACCGCAACGGCATCCTAAACGAGAAGTAACCAAAAATCGGAACGTGTTAAGCATCTGTTAGCGTACAGTTACACGGCGCGTCGAAACATAGGTTAGGAGCGTGATCGATCAGAGGACGAAACGCACCCCGCGAGACTGAAATAAACGTCACACGCGGAGCAAGTTGAATCCCGAACGGCTTAATAGTACGAGACAAATTATCGGCTATTGATAGCCCCTTCCCGATCTCGGCGAAATTCGTATATGCCCCGCTGATACACGTATAAATTTAGAGCCACGTCCCTCTTGCGCGTCTGATCGATAAATCTCGCGGCCACGTATGCGCGACATGTACGCGAGCGTCGTTAGCTCGTCAGGTCGTCAGGCGTCGTGCGCGCTTTGAATTTTGTATCGGCGATATTAGCTTGCCAACCTTAGCGGCATGTCTCAGACAATCAATTTCTCTGCTGGCCTCGATTAGCCGAAAATAAATTCCGCGCTGCTAGATCGCGGCAGCCACCAGCGCGGCGGGATCCATGACCCGCGTAAGGGAATCGATCCGTTCGGACTGTCTTTGAATGTTTGCACGTGGACACGTGCAGCTGACCGTGGAAAATTGTCTACGGTGACTTTAGAAATCGGTGTACTCGAGAAAAATGCGAAAAGTGGAAAACTGTTCTTTGTCTAATTCGTCTAAGTACGTACACGAGCAATTCACTTTCGCTGACGATCGATTCGCTCGATACCACCCCTCTCAGCCAGAGAATTTCCATGGCGAAATCTCGAGTTCCGAGTTTCTTTCGAAATTGAACCGATGATTGAACGTTCCCGGCGATTTTGATCGATTCGTTTCGAATACCACGAATTACACAGAATACAGCTGTTTCGAAGTTTGTCTGAGAAAGACGAGTCGATAATTCCCAAGTTTGAGCGAAGATCGTGCGTACCCCTCCAAAAGAAAAAAAAAA